GCATACCTGCATGTCGCAGTAGCATTTTCTACTCTGACTTGTGGGAAGTAAAATAATTCCCAGACCTGTATGAGTTTTGGGAGTTATTTGGTTTGTACTTTAATTCGCCAGCATTTCTTTGCCTGGCATCAGTGACTTTTATCTAGCACATGTAGCTTCATATTCAGCCATGAAGTGACTTATTTCTAGAAGTCTCTCTCTGTCCTCTAAATTCCAGTACAAACTCCCTAACTCAGCAAGAATGCGTGCTAGGCCTGGGGTACCTCCTTTATGCATTGCAATCTGGAAAGTGCTTCTTTTCAGCTAGAAATAGTGCAGGCAGAGCTCACTCATTTGTTGTCCTTTACTCAGGCATCAAAATCCAAACATAAAAATGAAATTAGGTCAACTTTGGGTTAACATTTGATTTTGAATAATAATTTGAATTCAAGTTCCAGGTCTACCTCTTAACTTTTTGCATGGGTATGTATTCACAAATCCCATTTCTGCTTTGGTGGTCACAGCTTTTCTTTCTATAAATTGATTTTAGTGGTGTAGTGGGTTACACGTTAGGCGCTAACTGTAAGATAGCAGTTCGAATCCATGGGAGAAGGATGAGGCTTTCTGTTCCCATAAAGATTTATAGCCTCAGAACGTTATACACAGTTGCTGTGAGTTGTAACTGACTCGATGGCACACCACCCCAACAACTACAATTACCTAGTAATTGGCTCCCTATCACTAGGTATTACATAATAAACAAATGGGAAAAATAACAAATCATACTTAAATAGAGGTAAGGTTATAAGAGGGGGCTTCAAAAAGTTTGTGGGAAAACTACATTTTTTTTTTTTGTAATGTTTTATTGTGAATTATGTGATAGTTTACATGGGAGAACATTGGTTTTAACATTCTCCAACTGCTCCATCGCTCCACCGCTCCACGTCATCATCTCTGGCTCCATTTCAGGCATCACTGCTTCTCTGGGTAGGGTCCCGCTCTCTGCTCTTCTCCCTTGATGGTC